CTTTTACTGTCCCTCTACCTTTCTAAGCATGATGTCCTTTCCAAGGACTAGTGCCTCCAGACAACATGCCCAAAGTATGTGAAATGAAGTTACACCATCCTTGCCTCTAAAGATCACCCTGGTTGTATTTTCTCTAAGATAATTTGTTTATTTAACTAAAAGTCCATGATACATTCAATATCTTCAACACTACTGTAAAAAGACATCAGTTCTTCAGTTTTCCTTATTCATTATCCAACTTTCAGATGCATACAATGCAACTGAAACCACCATGGCTTGGATTAGGGACACATTAGTCTTAAAATGACATCCTTACTCTTCAGCACTTTAAAGAGATCTTTTCTAACAGATTTCCTTAATGCAGTACATGTTTTGATTTCTTGACTGAATGAAGCTGTTGGGGATGTTGATTGTAGATCTATGAAAAAGGAACTCCTTTACAACTTTGGTCTTTTCTCCCTGTTTATTGGTACAATGGTAAGGATTTTTTTTTTTTATTAATGCTGAGGTATAATTCATATTGAAAGACTGCTGTTTGATCTTTAGGAAGTGCTCCAAGTTTTCTTCCCTTTTTGCAAGCAGTGTAATAGCATCTGCATAGCACAGGTTGTTGATGAGTCTTTTGCCAATCCTAATGCTACATTCTTCTTATGATCCAGTTTCTCAGATTATTTGCTCAGCATACAAATTGAGTAAATATAGAGAAAGAATATAACCCAAACACACACTTTATAATTTTAAATCGTGCAGTATTCCCTTATTCTCTTCAAACAACTGCCTCTTGCCCTCTTGGTCGGTTTCCTATGAAAACAAATATTCTGAAACTCCCATTCTTTTTCATGTTATCTAGAAATTGTTATTACCCACACAGTTGAACATTTTAACATATCAGTGAAACACAAACATATTTTGTTATTCTCTACTTTCAATCAAAGTTCATCTGAAATCAGCAGTGATACCCTTGCTCCAAGATCTCTTTTGAATCCTAATTGAATTTTTAGGAGTCCCTCGTCAATGTACTGTTCCAACTGTTTTTTAAATAATTTTAAGTAATATTTAACTTATGTGTAATATTAATAATGTTGTTTGATAATCTTCACACTGTTGGATCACTTGTGTGTTTTTAAATTGGAGGGAAAAGGAATGACATTAGAACTTTGTATCCATAATAGTATGACTTTAGAAATAAATACATTGCAGTTGTCTCTTAGCATCTAAAAGGTATTGGTTCTTGGACCATATGGATACCAAAATTCATGGATGCTTAATTTTCTTAGGGAAAATGATGTAGTATTTGTAGATAACATAGGCATTCTCTTAATTTACTTTGTTGATTGTGGAGCCAAGCAAACGAAAGCTGTTAACAATCTTAATCACTTCACCATCTATCATGATGCTTAGTTTTCAGAATATTAAATCTTCATGTAATTTAGTTCATAAAATAATAGTTTCTATTTGGTGAGATTTACTCAGTGACTATAACTTTTCAAAAATCATTGGGTAATACTTTTACTGGAGAGTAATTAAAACATTATCTTACTTAAAATAGTGTGAATGCATTTAGATTTTTTTTCTTTATATATTCGTACTATCAAAGTCCTTTTGTTTAAACTAATTAATATTTTTCTTTTCCTCTTTTCTGTTCAGTGAGTGATAGTTGCTTCAGGAATCTTGCAGAAGATCGCAGTGGGATAAATCTCAAAGATTTGGTACAAGATCCTTCTTTGTGAGTACTTTTAGTACTAAGAATAGTTCTAAAATTGATGATTGGTGGGATTATTTCTAAAATTTTTAAATTTAAAATTGATTTCATTTAGAGCATGGTCTACGTTTTATGTTTTTAACAACTTGTGTTCCATATAGTGAAGTCTGGTGGCATAGTTTCTTTTTAGGATTAGATTTTACCAGAAAGGGTGACATCATAACAATATCTTACCAGTATGGCAATGAGAAACATGATTAACATTTGATTTTGTTAGGTGCCATCAAGTTGAGTACAACTCATAGTGACCCTATGAACAAACTGAGCTGAAACCCTGTCATACCCTAGGCCATCCTCATTATCTCTGACAATTTGAGCCCATTGATTCAGTCACTGTGCCAGTCCTCTCACCAAGGGTTTTCATATCTTTCACTGACCCTCTACCTTACCAAATATGATGTCTCATTGAGAGGAATAAATAGCCTCTTATAAAAACATACCCAAAGTGTATGAGACGAAGCTTTAGCAAGAAGCTTTAGCTCCTTGCCTCTAAGAAGCACTCTAGCAGCTCTTTCTACAAAACGTAACTGTTTGTTCTTTTGGCAGTCCATACGCTAGTTAGCACTCTTCTCCAACACCACAGCTCAAAGATATCAGTTCTTCACTCATTCTTAATCCTTATCCAACTCTCAGATTCAAGTGATTAAAAAGACCCGTGATCTGAATCAGGTACACCTTAGTCTTCAAAATGACATCATTGTTCCTCAGTAATTTGAAGAGGTCCCTGACAACAGACTTGCCCAGTGCAAATATCTCCTCATCTCCTGACTGTTGGTATCAAGAATGTTGATCCAAGTAAGATAAAATTATTGCCCACTTCAATTTTTTCTCCATGTGTCATAATGTTGCTTATTTGCCTTTTTTATGTTGAGACGAAATCCACATTGAAACTATATTCTTCGATACTCTGCTGCAAGTGTTTTAAATCCTTCTCACTTTCAGCAGGCAAGGTTGTGTCATCTGCATAGCCCAAGTTGTTGATGTGTCTTCCTCCTATCTTGTTCCCACATTCTTCTTAATGGAGTCCAGCTTCTCAAATGATTTGCTCAGCATAAAGTAGGAAAAGAAAATGGAGATAGGTAACAGCTACTTTATTTATGTATGACACGTGCAATGAAATTTAAGAAGACATCAATCTCTTCCATTTTGTATCTTATCAATCCTCCCACAGTTTTCGTAGATAACCTTGCCCCTTCTGTCAGGAGGGACAACGTGCTTGGAAAAAAGACATCATGTCGAGAAGAATATTGAGTCAGAGAAAGGGGAAGACCCTCAGAAAGCATCAACACAGTGACTGCAACAATGGTCTTAAACATATTGAAAATAGTGAGGGTGCAGGATAGTGCAAGGCTTAGAGCTGTTGTTCATAGGGCCAACAATGGTTGACTCGATGACACCTAATAAAACAACACTGAGGAATATGAAGTTACTCTTAAGTTAGATATACTGTTGTTATTGTGTACTGGGTTTTCAGAGGTTATTCATCTGGTGGGAAGATACGCTCATCTTTGTCTTGCAGAATAATTGGTGATTTGAACTGCATACCTTTAGATTGTCAGTGTAACTCCTTACCACTAAGCCACAATGACTTTTAATTAAATATTCAGTGTGTGTGTGTGGGGGGGGGTTTGTTTAGTTGTCATGTTGGGAGATATATTTTGTTCAAAATCCTTTTCCTGTGACAGTTGTGTTCATTTAGTATATATGTGTATGTTTATATTATATATCTCAATCATAAGCCAGAATTTTCTTAAAAGTTATCTCCTCCTTTGTTATAATGGGAAATATATTAGTTTGAAATCTTGTTCCTATGACAATTGTATTCACTTAGTATGCATATCACGTAAATAAGGATTATTTTAAAAGGAGTCTCCATTTTTTCCATAGTCTCTTAACATAAAGCACTGTTTTGTGTACAATAGATAGTTTTGTAGTAAGTTGAATTTTTTATGTTTCAATATCAAGTGGAATATATTTAAAATACTATTATTAACAATAAACTTCCTTGACTATCATTGATAATTTGGTATGAGCTCCAGACTAGTTTAATGATTGTTAAATGCAAATATGTGTTCTTAGTAAATTTTCCAAGTAAAATAGTTCATTATAATACGATAAGTATATTACATTCATTTTTATGTGTTAAAAAGCCTGGCAGATTTAGTTATAATTCTTCTAACTGATGCTGAAAGCACTTAGTGGTAAAGACAAAGTCTTTCAAGCACCAGTGTGTTACTACAAAGGAGAGAAAATAGCAGAGGAGGAAAATGTAAACAGCAGAAAACCCAGGCTGACTCTGTCAGTATTGGCTTTTAAAGCAATAAACTGAGTCTTAATGAGACAAATGAGGTGATGTGGAATTTCTGTGGAAATGAAACAAAATTTAACAATTCTCATCTCAGAATGATTTAAAGGATGGTCACAAACTGAGACTATACTCAACAGAGTTTCATTTCTATTTTATATGAATAAATTGGTTTGAGTGGCAATTGATTACATGACACATAACAACTAACACTTTGTACTTTACTTAAACAATGGATAATAAATACTTAAGGTTATTTTGCTTCAGTCGTATTAAAGCAAATTATTAAGTTGAATGAATTGATTGAACTATACTGTATTTACATGACACTAGTGGAGTAAAGGTGAAAAAGTTGTGAATTTCTAAGAACTTTGCACACGTGCCTTGAGTTTTGATCTGTTTTAAGAATAGAAGCTGAATGTTATTTGAGGCAAGTTTGAAGTTAAACCAGGAAGGCAACTTTTTCCTTTGACTAGTGACTCTGAGAATATTTCTTTCTGTTAGAATCTCAAGATCATATGTAAAAACTTAATAGTCATTTATTATTGATGAATGTGTCAAAATATTTTTTATATTAATAACTACATACATTTTAAATTTTGAAGGAAACCATTTAATTGAGTAGTTTATCTTCTGTTTTTAGTTGTAGATGTTTTATTTTCCTTTATTTTAGTGTATAATTTATAAGCCCTCTTGCTACATTTGTGGTCTCTCAATGAAAATTTGAAGTGTTAAGCTTAACAAGATGTCAATATTATAAATGCAGTGTAAAGCAGAGATAAATATCTACTCTAGTAATTTTGGAATATATAAGAAGTTATTCTTAGCAGGAAAAAATTATTTTCTCTTTAAGTGGATGGGTGAATACTGTTAAATTTTTAAAAAATACTCTTTACTGTTTCTTCTTTGGGAATTGCTATTATAGGAAATAGAAGTACTCTGCGCAAAATATTTTATTTTAAATTATTTCTCAGTTTTGTTCACTATAGTGTCAATTGTACAAAAACTTAAAAATTGGCATTTTGTATGCTTAAGATGGAAGATAAAACATTATCATACATGCTTTGGATTTCTTAGATTTCTAAGCTATTTGCCATTAATAATGAATCAAACTTAGATAGAAACTTTAAAAGAGATTTAAAAATAAAAAGAGAAAGAACAGATATCAAGAATTCTCGGAACCAACAAATTGAACACCTTAATGTACTGTGCATAGTATTTATGCTGATTTTATATGTGGAGATATGTGTTCTCTAATTTCATTTAATTTTCAAGAATTCTTAAAAATTTAGGACCAGTCTACATTTGGTGTAAGTCATTATAGGGAAGAGTTGTTTAATTAATAAAAACTCCCAATCATTTCTAAACGTAGAGTATATAATTTAGAATGTAGGATAGTAGTAGTCTTCTTTATAATTCAAATAGAAAACTTTTCTATATTTTGAGAACTTATAACAACAGGAAAAATCTATCCTGTTATTTATAGTACATAATGATGTCTTCCAGAGGCATTTGGATAGCTGGTCAGTAATGTCCAGATTTTCAGAAACATTGTTGATTTATGACCTTTTGTGGTCTATAAAAGGGAGGTCTCAATAAAAATAGAGAAGATATTTCAATATCTAAGCCTATCCTAATTTGTGATTGCCTGTTGTTGTGCCATCATCACCTATGACTCATCGTGACCTTATGTACAACAGCTCTGAACCCTGCTTTCTCCTGAACCAACCTTATTATCTCCTATCCCCATTACTTCAGTCACTGAGTCAATCCATCTCATCAAGGATCTTCCTCTCCTGCGCTGTCCCTTTATCCTCCCAAGCATGATGTCCCTGTCCAAGGATAGCTCCTCCTTTTAACATGTCTAAAGTATGTCAGATGAAGCTTCAGAATCTTTGCTTCCAAGGAGTAGCTTTGGTTTCTCCCTCTCCAGGACGAGCCTGTTAGTTCTCCTGGCAGTCCATGGTATATTCAATACTTTTCTCCAGCATTACAGCTCAAAGGCATCAATTCTCCCTCTATCATCGCTAGTCATTGTCCAGCTTTCTGACATATAGCAAATAATTGAGAAGACCATCGCCAGAATCAGATGCACCTTAGTCTCTAGACTGACAGTGTTGTTCCTCAGTATTCTGGCTAGGTCCCTGACAGCAGATTTTCCCAATGCAATTCATATTTTGATATCCTGACTGCTAGTACCAAGAGTTTTGATTGTGGAGCCAAGCAAACTAAAGCTGTTAACAGTTTCAATCTCTTCACCACCTATCCTGATGCTGCCTTTTGGCTCAGTGGTGAGAATTTTTGTTTTCTTGATGTTGAACTTCAGTTCATATTTACGGCTGCAGTGCTTGATATTCTGCAGCAAGTACTTAAGGTATCCTTGATTAAATTATACTAGAGATGAAGAAATGCTCGTATTTTAAACTGAACATCTCATCTAATCTTTAATAATAAAACATCTTGAGAACAAAGAAAAGAAAAGTATTCCTATCTTTGGTTATTATGATATATTTTTACATAAACTATAAAATGTTTTTACTTATTTAATAAAATGAAAATTCTTTTCACTGTCTCTATAGGGATTATTTAAAGCACTAATACTCACTCATTGCTTTTGAGTCTGAACTGACTCTTTGCTGACCTCCTAGCATGTTATTTT